TTGCAAATCAAATGGGTCATATCCATGTCTGTCTTCCCTTCCTGGTTAAAAAATGTATTTGCAATATGAACAGTTTATCTAATTAACACAATTTGTTGAGAAAAAAACTATTATTTTGCTTTGCTAGGTTGTGAACATATTTGATCTAATTTATTTTGGTCTAATTTATTTGTATATACGTTTAGTAGCTTGTGGAAGTCCGCTCAAATATTTGTTGATATTTATTATTATTTATTTAAATGTAAATATATCATTTGTTTTTGTATTGGTTTTTCAGTTGAATTATACGTTCAGGGTAATCAACAGTTAAAAACATAAAGTTCAAATTATTATTATTATTATTAAAGTCAATGAATAATCGTATTTAATAATCGTGATATCAATTATTGACCAAATAATTGTGATTATGATTTTTGCCATAATCGCACAGCCCTACTGCAGATTATATAAAAAAATAATAATAATTAAAAGAAAGTTTATATAATAAAATATCGATACTTGTCCTTGTATCGATACAATATCGCCACGCATAGTATCCCGATACTATGCTGTATCGATTATTTCCTCCACCCCTAGAAAATTGCAATAAAATGAAAGATATTGAAGAATCTAGGTTCTACAAATACCCAGTTTAAAGCTAAAATCTTCTATAGCAGCATTTCTTTATTAACTATTTAGGATATCCAAGTAAAAAATCTTCATCAAATCAGTCTAGTAACTCCAAAATGGAAACTTAGAAGAAAATGTTGAAAAGAGTGAATATCTTTCTGAGCAACATATTATTCATCAGGTTTAGTAAACTGGTGAGTGAATTCAAATGTGTGTCTGTTAAGTCGCTTCGGAAACATGCAAGCTGTTCCGGTGGCTCAATGACAGATGGAGGAAAATCAAGGGCAGTAAATATGTTTGAATGAAAACACATCTATGACACAGTGAGATCTGTGAGCCTCTCTGTGCTGTTCTCTACTCACCTGTCGGGGGAGAGACCCCAGTGAACCAGCACCTGTTTGTCTTTCCTCGTGACAGGACGCAGCCACTCATCTGCAACATACACAAACCAATCGCTGACAAATACACACTGGCCAGTAAGCTATACGAAATACAACGGCGTAAACTAGAACATATTTGCAGTTACAAAATAATTTTAACTGCATCAGCCACACATTTGATGTCATTTGTAATCATAAGAATTTGTATTTTCAACAGCTTGCAAAAGGACTCATATTTGCCATCAGGCTAAAAAAGAATACTGCCCATGAATTGATAGGGGCAAAAATGTGATCCAATCCGAAATTAAAGACAATTCAACCCCTACCTTCTTCTTGTTGGGATGTAGAGGGGTAAATGTGGTGGGTGGCCTTTGACTTGTCATCAGTAATGGAGCCCTGGAGAGGATAGAGTGGAGGACATGGAAGTCATAAGTAACCACAAAACATAAATACAGCGGAGTTTGCCGTTAGAAAGACAACCTCTCTACTTGCCGGACAAATCAATGTCTCAGGAAAGATTTTTTATGTGGAAGGTTCGGGCTCACCTGGTGCCGTTTGACGATGTCTTTCAGCTTAATGGCTTGTTTCTGCTCGATGTCCGTCGACAGGAATACGGTGGGTCGAGTCAAGCAGTTATTCTACAAGCACAGAAATAATAAGTTAGGACAACAAACAATATATTTAATACTAAAAACAAAAAATCCATCTAGCTTGTTTTGGGGAGGCTGTGGCTCAGTGGAGTCGTGCGCTGAACTTTGAATCAGGGGGATAGCAAGTTCGAGTCCCACTGCAGTCAGCATGTCGTCCCTGGACAAGACATCCCCACCCCAAATTGCTCCTGTGGGGATTGCCCACAGTACTGAATGTATGTAAGTTGCTTTGGATAAAAGAATCTAACAAGTGACATGTAATGTGAAACTGTACATTTACAACAACAACAAAAACCCAGTAGCACTAATGCATTTAAGTTATTTCACAAAGTAGCAGATAACTTTAATAAAAACTGTACAATCTGGTCTCAATAAAGTGCAGCTTCATTGAGCAATACTTGGCGTTTTGAAAATATTGTTGGGGACTTTCTACAAGTGCTGGATTATTCAAAAGGCAGCATCATCAAACAGAAACAAACATCCAGTGTATTCACTCATCACAGAGCAGCAGACTTCTTAATGTAGTCGTGTGGCGTCTGAACTGTACGTTGTGCTTTGCGTGGTGAGTGTTGTTTTCTTGCCGATTCCAAAGACACATTTTAATTTGATTTAATAGTCAGTAAAGTAATCTGAATAGGGGACACTGAAACGCTCCTCAAGGCAGCAGCTTGTGTTCAGAGAGTACGGGTCGTACCTGCACCAGGTTCTTCTCCACATTTAGGAACATCTCCACGTTCCTGTCCATCCGGGAAGGATTCTGCAGGTCAAATCTACGCCTGGGAGTGATTAGAAAGGGCAATTAGACATACAACGAAATAGGGTTGTAATAGAGTAATACAGAACAAACAACACATAGTTTAGTAAGAGTGAAAACAAACGAGAGAACGTGTCAAAGCAAAAACAGAAGCATATTTGTGATAACAAAGCTTTTAGGACTACATAATAGTTTCAGTTTTGGTCAACTCACCACCCCTGCTCGCTCTTAAACTTGTAGACCGACCCCAGGGTGTGACAGAGAGCACCTCCGGCCTTGAAATCCAGGAAACACTTGGCCTGAAGATAGAAGAATAACAATGAGGATATACAATGTCAGCACTCAGATATTGCCTTCTATTAGACCCTCCAGAAAAACGCAATTCTGCGATCGCAGAATTTACCGCATAATCAGCAAAATGGCGCAGATTTTTTAAAAGCCGCATATTTATCAAAAGGCCGCATAATCCCCGCATTTTTCCACACAAAGTTGAGAAAAAAAAAAAGTTAACTCGTCTTGACGTGACGTCATCAGCTCGCGCATCACAGAATGTAAACAACACTGTATAGAGCTCATTTACCGACGAACATTTCTACTAAAGACCGGGCAAAAAGTGGGGGGAAACTATTCTGCACCCCGTGCAACTGTGTGTTGGAGCATAAGAGAAAATCGACGGTGACGACCCACTTTGATTCATTCAAACATTCGAAAATGCTTTCTGCTGCTGCGGACAAGAAAGCCATTCAACTCACGTTCAGCGAGGCATCAACCTCCAAAACCCTTTCGAGGGCTACAAGAAACGAAGTGAGTAGCCTACAAGATTGAAGCTGGTCAGATAACGAACGAGTAAATGAAAACAGAATGAGGCGGAGAAG